TGCATGCCTTTGCCACCTTGCGCTGGATGGTGAATCCCAGCAGGCGATGATCGCTGTCGCCCAGGTGGTCAAGCACCCGCAGCCCCCTCACCAGGTCATCACCCGTGGCCAGCACTAGGTCCAACAAAGCGTCCCCCCTGGTGGGGCTGTGCACCTTCTGGGTTAGATGGAGGTCCTGCACACTGTCTAAAAACCTACGCGAGCGTTCAGACCTGGCTGACTGCTCTTCCCAGATGTCCGGGAAGTTCAGGTCCCCCACGATTACCACATCCTTAGCCTTCACTACCTCTGTGAGCTGACCCAAGAAATCCTGGTCAAGCTCCTCACCCTGGTTGGGAGGTCTGTAGTAGACTCCCATCGTTAAGTCTCTTTCACCTCGACAGCCTTTCACTCTAACCCAAAGCACTTCAGAGTGCCCCTCCCCTGACTCCTTGCCACTGGACGAGGATGTGTATTCCTCCTTAATATAGAGTGCCACACCCCCACCTCTCTTTCCTATCCTGTCCCTCCTGCACAGCCTATAGCCCGTGACATTCACCACCCAATCATGTTCTTCCTTGTTGTTTCCTTATAGGACACAATAAAACGTTTCTCACAAAAACTTATTACTCTACCCAAGTCTGGGATTTGTTCTCCTCCTTGTAATTATAAATTAAAGGCTGCATTTTCAAAAACATTTGCTTACAGGCACACACAATGGGATGGCCTCACACAGGAAATTTGGTATTTATCTGTGACAATTTAGCCATGTAACTCATTACACAGGCTTGGTTTTACTGTTCAGTACAACATTTATCAATGGTCCATAAGGCATTTTACTCGAGAAACATGCCAGTGACTATTTCTTAAGTTTAGCCTTTGGAACACTTCTTGAAGAGACAGCAAATCCAGGGACCGGACCCATCATACTAATGTGTGGCAGGAAACAAAGATGACGCAGGCTTGTATACATGCTGCCCTGGGGTTTCAGCACCCAACCCTCCACGCTGACCTTTCATACCTGCCATCTGGAGCTAGATTCTTCTGAATAGTGGCCAGCTTCCCAATCTCTCCCTGAGACATTGTTTTATGAAGTTTGGTTTGGCCTTCACCTGATGCAAATCGCTGTGACATCTGTAATAATTACAAGAAAAAACACTTTACAAACAAGACTCCCTTGTGTTGCAGGTGACAGAAATCTAGAGCTAATGAGAAATTCACCTGCTGCACAAGAAACACTGAAAATGTTGCATGCTATTGCTCACAGCAACTTCATTCCTGTTTGGTTGTCTAAGAATTGACTAAGAGGTAAACAGTTAAACGTAGAGACATAGTTCAACTATCTCCAAGTCCACTTACAGGAAATGAACTGCCTAATGCCTCCTAAAAGACCGCATTTCATGTACCATACAACATGCTGCTTCGGCACCCTATTTACATACTTATTTTCACACAGGTATAATAATAAATGTTCCTTTCTCAAGAGGAATCCCTTAAACTGGGAGTTGCAAGAGATACTTTCAACTTCTACACTTCACACCAAATTTTCACCAATGCAGAGCGCCCAAGAACGTGCAGTCACCTGGATCACGAGGGAGGGAAAGGACTACCTTCTCCTTTTGGAAGAGGGATGTTTGCAATAAAATTTCCAGCATGTGCTCCCAGCAAAAAAAAAAAAAAAAAAAATGGCAAGGCCAACACTCTACACCATACTCTCCATCATATTAACATATTGTCCTGATAAATCTCACTGTCAGTATTCAAAGCTTGCTCTGGGCTCACTTGGAAGGCAAAAGAAAAAAAAAAGATATGCCCAGCCTGCTAATACTCTGACAGGCTAAAATGGACACCCTTCTGGAAAAAGAAATGTAAAATGTTTATTTTCAATCTTTAAAACCATACGGGATTTCGTAGTTCCTGCCACAATTTAAAACAGCATGGGTAAATTCTGGCAGTGTGAACTGAACTGATTATTAATGATGGAGCTCATTAAGTTCAATAAAAGTTCCCTGAAATATACTGCATGCCATATCTTCTAAGGTTTTCTGTAAAACTCTTTGAATTTAAATTTGGCATTATTTTTATTGCTTCTGATTCAGTGGGAAGCAATAGTGCAGAGACCGTGTTTTTCTAATCTCCCTTGAGCATAGGACTAGATAGGCTGCTATCACTGTTATGTCTTCTTTGGTTTAAAAAAGACAATCAGTCACTGTTCCAAAATGTGTTGTCCAAAACCATGCCTGAGGCAGTCAGTTGGAGATGTTATCTTAATCCTAATCTCTTTGTGTATTTATGCAGCACCCAGCAATAGTGGCATCTGGGCATAAAAATCTATAATTGGAAATATTAAATATAATCAATTCTCTTTTTTCTTCCCTAGATGTAGGAGAAAGCAGTTCAATTCGTATGTTGGTTTCTTCTGTGCTAAAAAAATAAAACAAAAAACAGTGACATTTCATCTGCAGTGAGAAGCTCTATAGATATTACAAACAGCAATATATATATAGACATTACTGAAGAGGATATTTGGGCATATTAAAGAGGAGGATTAGGAAAAAATGGTTGTTTAATCATCCAGCTTCTGAAAACAGTGCTGGATTCAGCAACTCCAATGTGACTGCTGAAAGGGGCAGCAGCTATTCCTTTCAGGTTTCCCATGTAAAATGCACAGATTATTACTGAAACTGTTTTCAACTAGAGTGGTAATTTCTGAGTTTGACTCCTGGTTGTGATCATCTTCCTGACAAAAAAACGTCATTTTTGGCAATGACTCTGGGAGCTGAAACTGTACTTTATAAAACCAGACAGAGCGATATAATCAAAAAGACAACAGCAATTTTTCTTGCTTACAAAACCCTTATCCTAATATCTTCTTTTCCAGAAAGATGAATGTTAAGAGGCATGGTAATATATTTCAGAGAAGGAGAGGGAGAGAGACGGCTGTTTGGACTATACGCTGCATTTGGTTTTTTGGTTTGGGGGGGGAGGGCGTTACTGAAAAAACTTACCAATCAAATATACAGATTTGTTTAATGCTTTTTTTCTTTCAGTACACATTATACTCTATAGTTTCTATGAATATAATAAAATGCTTTAAACAGTTATGTAAAATCTTGATTCAAAGGCAGTAACAGTTGCCACATTTTTTTAAAAAGGTCCAAGCCTTTATTTCATTTCCTTCATGTATGTGGCTTTCTGAACATTTAAAATGTTTTATCCCTTATTAGCCACGAGATGGCATTACATGAAGCACGCTGCCAATCTTGAAACAAGGAACTGCAGCAGCACAAATACAAGTTCCCCTTTTCAAGCTTGTGAATTTTCTCTGACAAAGGTCAACTGTGCAACGCAGAGGTTAATTACAAAAATCTCAATCTCCTCGCATTGTATTTGACTAGAATATTTAGTGTTACATTGAAGTAATATTTTAAAGGCTCTTTTTACTGAAGAGAAATAAGGCAAAATATCCAGTTCTTCCTTGTAAGTGACAGCAGCTCTGATCAAAAATACATGGACACAGTCAAACATCTATTCCACTAGCTGGCGACTCAAATGCTCATGAAAGTAGCTACAGTTTATACATATGTTTCATACAAATTAACCTATTAAAATAGTTGTCTTAGGGTTAGGCAAGACGGTCAACTGACTGGTCAAATATTGCCAAACGACTGGTCAACTGACTACATATTTTTTTTGACTGGTCAAAGATTATGGCAATTTGATACAACACCCCCCCCCCCC